ACAGAGAAAATGGGCAGAAGGAAAAGATCCAGAAGAGTTGACAAAGGCAACTCAGTCAGGTATCCTGGAATTTCAGGGCATATAATGTTTCACTGATCTCTACACAACTTTAAACTAGAACTCTGGAGAGGAATGTGGATTTTTTTGTTGTTATTACTAAAAATAATTCTTTCCTGTCATACCCAAATCTGTGAAAAAAAATCTGTGTATGAATTCTATTTTTTAAAAAAATTATGACACGTCGGTTGCAAACTGCCTACTCAACAGCCATTCTCCCTCACCCAAAACCCCAATGTTATGGCTATGGCAACATGCCTCATTGAAAAGTCCCTCGAAACTTAAGGCTGTTTTAAGAGCCAGTTCTGATCAATGAAATATAACTAGAAGTCTCCTTGGTGAGGTCTCTGGCTACTGTTTTCCTCATAAGGAACAAACTTAGTGGACATGCACCTTGAACTCTTCAACTATGGCCCCTCTCCCTACCTAGAATGCAGATCTGATCCTTGTGGAACAACCAGCCATCTTACAACTATGGCAGCAAGTCACAAGCTCCCAGATGGCAGAGAAGGAGGCTAGAAGGGGCCAGGGTAATGCAGGATAGTGCCCAGTGACAGCATCTGCCCTCCTCTGCCCTCCACTGGATTTCCTGCTGTTAGAAAAATCATGCCTGGGGGGCACCTGGGTGGCACAGTCGGTTAAGCATCCAACTCTGGGTTTTGGCTCAGGTCATGATCTCGGCGTCCTGGGATCGAGCCTGGCATCAGGCCCCACACTCAGCGCAGAGTCGGCTTGGGACTGTCTCTCTCCTCTCCTGCTGTCCCTCCCCCTGCTCTCTCTCTCTGAAATAAATCTTTTAAAAAATCATGCCTGCTTGATTCAAAAACTGGGATCAAGTTTCTGATGCATGTGTCCAAATTCAATACTAATAGATACACGAGGATGCCTGAAAATCAATCCATCCTCAAAGACCACGAGTTCTAAACTTAAATGGAAATAGGAGAAGGCAGATCAAATGTGAGTTAATCTGACAGGTGTATGAAAGGAAGGCGTGGCAAACTGCACCAGGTAGGCCTCATGTAAGCAAGCACCATTACCAGTCCCACCCAGCTCCGGCCAACTGGTGCCCCGGAGCGGGTGGGGGTGGTGCCAGCCCAGCATTCCCACTGTGCCAGAACTTCTGATTTTAAAGAGAAGCCCAGAATTGGGATTTTCACGTCAAGTTTCCTAATTTATAAATAACCGCCAAATTTTAAAAGTGTTAACTCTGTATGGATCAAACGAGACATCACTACAGGCAACATTCAACCTGAAGGCTACCAGTTTTCAACCCTAGTAGAGAGGGTTAAAGCAAAATAAAAAGACCATCCAAGTTCTACAGAAATAATAACGATCAGCAACATTTTGGGCGCTATGTGCCAGGCTGTGTGAAGGGCTTTACGTCGATTATCTCATTTTTTCTCTTTAGTCACCCTATGGAGTATGTGATATTACTATCCCTGCCTTACCCATGAGGAAACTGAGGCTGAGTGAGGTGAGGCTGTACTGCTCCTGGGGCGCTTGGGTGGCGCAGTCAGTTAGGCATCCGGCTCTTGGTTTTGGCTCAGGTCATGATCTCAGGGTCAGGAGATCGACCAAGTGGGGCTCCATGCTCAGCGGGGAGTCTGCTCGAAGAGTCCCTCTCTCCCTCTGCCCCCTCCCTGCTCCCGCTCATCACATGAGCTCTCTCTCTCTGTCTCAAATAAATAAATAAAATCTTGAAAAACAAAACAAAAAAGAGGGGGGGATAAAAGAGGTTAAATAACTTGCTGAGTCCTAGCGTTCATGTGTAGCAGAGCCAGGATTTCAACCCAGGACTGTATGACCCCCAGGCCTGTGCTCTTACCCACTCTTCATAAAGAATGCCCCCTGTGCCCAGGAAGCACAAACACTGCTCTGGATCACTACTAGTCTACCTATGGGTAAATGAGTCAGAGCTCTCCAAGAGACTTCCAAGTCAGTTTGACAGGAGACCCAGGCTCACGTCCTCCTACGTGGCTGCCCTTCAATAAAAAAGGCAAAGCACTGTCCAGTCCTCGTCTATCTGCAAGTTTCCTGAAGGAACGCACGTGTGTGTAGTGCTGTCAAATGCATCTCTCTCTCAATCCCCACAGCAACCCGGTGGCATTGTTACCACCACTTGACAGTGAAACGGAGGATTAGAGAGATTAGTGGACTTGTTCAAGATCCAGGCAGTTAGCAGAGCTGGGTCTCCAGCCCCGCTTATCTGGTGCCAGGCCCTGTGTTCTTTCTACTCGAGCACACTGCCTCTGTGCTTCCTCCAGCAGAGCGCCCAACTCCACCACCTCGCCTCCAACCAAACATTCCTACTTAACTCTACAGTCATTCCAGGATGTCTGACGGCCCCCAGGTGCCATGTTTACGTTTTCAGCGATAGCTTCATCCTAGCATCTAGTCAGCCAGGGAACAGAAATAAATACGTCAGGTCATACACTCAGAATTGGAACGTAAATGGGCACACACAAAAGTCTTGGGATCTAATTTTAGAAAGAAACAGCCAAAAAGTTCCACACAGCACAGGGAGCATCTGCCCCCGGGGGAGGCTGCCCACACTGCTTTAAACCTTAGTCAACCCAGGGAGAGAAGGAATCCCTGGAATTCGGACCAGCATGTCACTGCCAGAGGCACCAGTTGGGTGAAGAACAGAATGACTTTTCATCGTGTTCTCCCACAAAAATGCTAAGGCCCAGAGGTAAATGTCCCTGGGGGATCATCCTTCCAGAAAGGATGAAACCCTGAAAAGTCATCACAGTCTGTGCCTTTGAAGTTAGCTGTTCACAGTCCTGACTCTCACCTGGGAGCCAAGGGGAAAGCGATTGGGGGTGGGGAGGGGGGCAGTGAACAATGCCTACTGACCCCAGCCTAGAAGCTGATTTGGTGTGGCGGTTGCACAGAGCCTCAAGGCCATCAGGTCATTCCAGGATATTCTGGCCCACCACAGGCCCATCACCTAACCACTACAAGTGCCTAGAACCTCCTTCACAATTAAGTAGACATGTGATTGGTCTTTCTGGCTGCCAGTGATCACAGGAGTAAAAGTTCCATTATGGCAGGAAATTTTATCTCTTTTGTTCACTGAAATATGCCAACCCTCTGCAAAGGCGCCCGACACATAATAAACTTTAATAACTATTTGTTGAAGAAATGAATAAATGATTTGCCATTGGGATGGATCTTCCTAGACCCACAGTCTAAAGTGGCCAGAGGTCAAGAGGAGACTCCATTAACCCAGTCATCTGCTTGCCCATTTTCGCTTAGCCAACATACACTACTACAGTTCAAGGTCCCTCAGACCCAGGGTTGGGTATGATATGTGTTCTCTCACCACCTTCCCTGGGCCTCCAGTGCACCACTATGTACCCACCCCCCATCCTGCAACACTCTTCCTCGGCCTGTGATGGCCCTCATCACACACGGTGTACCTCACTGGCCCCCCCAACAACCCTGCACTGTCCACCTCATGCCTGTGCTGGGCATTGTGAGTGACAGCCGGCCTTCCAAAGCTCCCATCTTATGAGGGGGCCAGTCATGGAAACGATGAGAATACAACACAATAAGCACTATAATGCAGGTGCTGTCGCCAAAGTCACAAACTGACCACCCTCAGGCCTATGATGTTTTAATTGTTATAATTAGTTGCTAACCTACGGAAATGTGCTGATTTCTCACAAAACTTTCGACTGTCAGCATCTCGCGGAAAATCAGAGGGTCTGGCGATGCGGGGCCTGTAGTCCCCACAGCATCAGTCAGCTTGAGCCAGGCGGCGGTTTCCTCTTTACAGGGAACATGTGGTCTCTGGTTCCCACAACCCATCTCCCCACCTCACCCTACAGTCTCCAGGCAATGAGGCCACGGGCCAGCCACCAGTTCCTCTGCACTGGAATGACTGTTACCTTAGAGTAATGATGCTCTGTACCCACATTTCTACAATAAGTGAGAAAGTAAAAGATAAATCGAAAGGGCCATGTGGACTGCTCACAGAAATGCTGGAGAACTTGCTTCCCAGGAAAGTGAAGAATATTCCTACATACGTGATACTGTAAGCAGCTCTGTGTCTTGTCCCTGGCATGCTTTGCTCATGCACCTGCCTAGCTCGTTGGGCTTCTCAGTGTAGATCCCCTCATCGATTTTAAACCTACTATGGCCAATGAACTAGATAACTGAGGAGCCAGGTTTCCTGCTGTGTGGGAAGTCACTGTCTAGTGGGGCCAGACAGATACATAAAAAGAAATTTAGCATACAATGTGAGAACATACAGACGTCTCATAATAGGCAGAGAAGAAGGAGCCCTAAGCTGGCCTGGGGAAGTTAGGAAGAGCTCACAGAGGGATTATCCCGAAAGTGATTCTTGAAAAGAGCAAAGTTTATTCAACTGGACAGCGGAAGATGCAAAGGGGCTCTGAGTAAACTGCCAAAAATAGTGCCCTGGCATTAAAAGTGTTGCTCATCGGGATTACCCACCCTCCATGGAGCAGCTGGATAAATTCCCACAGTTCCAGGCCACTCAGAAAAGTTTCCAGGAAAGTAAGGCCAGCACTAATCCCCTTCCTGCCTGAAAACTGTAGCAAGTGCAGGTCACCACCGAGAGCAAACGTCCAGTTGTGTAATCCAACCTTACGTCACCAGCAGGGCTCACTGGCATTGATTTGGCAGAAATAAAAACCTGGATTTCCACTGGATTTTGAAACTTCCCAGTCCCCTGCTTCAGCGAACTTAAGAATGTTCTTCACTGAGAATATAAAGCAATGCACAGAAACGACTCTGGCATCAAAGAAAAAACGTTCTGCTTTCACTTCTTGCTAATAGGAAAATGCCAAGGAAGGGAATTTCCAAATCAAGATAGGACAAAGGGCTGACATTGGAGAGAAGAAATATGAAATACCAAATCCTTGTTCATTAAGTAATTACTAACTCTTAGAAAGCATTTTTTTTTTAACACCCACCTCTCCAGTCAGAATTGAAGAGGAGTTCTTGCTACTGAGATGATTCTCGACTTGAGCTGACTCCTGTTGAGCTCGGCGACCCATCTTGGGTCCCTGTAAGGAGAGATGAGGAACGCTGCTGACCCAAACATCTTTGAGCCACTATGAGGACGAGAATTCGGGAAGGTAAGCAAGGGCAGGATCTATGATGACATGGTGGAGGATGGGATTTGAGCAACTTGAACATATTTTTTAAAAAATGCTCCACACCCTTAAAACAAAGCACCTGAGGCCATTTCAATTTGAGAGGAAAACATGAAATTCCTGGATTAATGATCACAGGTTTCTCTTTTAACTGCCATAGATCCTTCCTACCCAAAGAAATGCACACAGACATTCCTCTAGAATGAAGAGAGAGACCTCATGCCAAAGCTCAGGGAAGAAGGTGGTAAAGGCTCTCATGTTCCTATGCAGGATTCTAGAAAGGCCTCATTTCAAAGCTGCAGCTTGGCATGAAATTGTTATCAAAAAGAATTTGGGGAAAGAACTCCTAAATTCCATGGCAACTAGCACCAGAGATGTAAATACAGGTAGCACTTGCTTTGACGTCGGTGGAGCATGCGACTCTTGATCTCGGGCCCCACATTGGGTATGATATGGATTTGAGCTTCTAGACAGTAAAGGAAATCTCTTACAAGAATTCTGAGACATCAGCTTCGGAAATCATAACACTTTAAATTCTGAGTCATCAAATGAACCATCTGGAGGTGTTTCCCAAAGCCTTCCTGGGGTGGAGGCTCTGTGTCTCAAATGCTTCCCAGCACAGAAATAAAACTTTATTTAGGCAGACTAGTGGATGTTGAAATATTTATATTATCATTTGTTGGCTTTTCTAAAACCAGCATTAATATAAACATTTTTAGATCTCATCTGATGTGGCTTCACTGGATTCTCACAGTAACAGGGACTAGGACTGATGCCATTTCACAAGCATGGAAAGTGAGGCCCAGGAAGGCAAGTAAGTGGCAGACATCAATCGAAAAGCAAAACCTTTTTCTGTCTTCGGATCCTCAGGTCTTTCCACTATCCCATGCTGGAGTTTCAGTTTTCAGATGTTCTAAAAACTGCCTGCACCAAACAGCTGAGAGGGGTTACACGGGGGTTGCATAAAAGCCCCTATGACCTGTTTACATTTCACATTCTAATCAGTAATTTAGGTTTCAGGGATGATGGAAACAATCTTTCTGATCAGCAGCTCATTTTCTTTCCAAGGCAGATAATTCCGCCCCTCTGCCTATCACTGCCCTTTCCCACTTGTCTTAGCATTTGGTATCTGAACATGGCGTACTACTCGCAGGGGTTGTGCTAAAACAAAAAGTCAATGATCTTGTCTCTAAATGCGGTTTCCGGGGGGTTTCTCTAATAACTGTTAAGTATGTTAAGGCTTTAGGCCTTCTGAAGACCTTGTATAAATCCACGGAAATGACTGGTAGAAAAACTACTTTACTATATTTAAAAGTACGTATATTTTAAGTGGATATTCTTACTGTCCATCTTCCCCCCCCCCCCCGGTTGTAAGCCCCCTGACGACAAGGACTTTGCTTGTTGCTGTTGTTTTTTAAGATTTTATTTTTTAAAGTAATCGCTACACCCAATGTGGGGCCTGAGATCAAGAGTTGCATGCTCCACCGACTGAGCCAGCCAGGCGCCCCTGTGTTGTTGTTGTTGTTGTTGTTTCACTGCTGTATGTCCAGCACCTAACCCAATGCCTGATATACAGTGGGGGCTCAATAAATATTTGTTTAAAGAATGAATGCATAACTACATTTACATTCCCAGGGACTAAACAAGTTCACGTATCAGAAAGACCCGGTGACCTAATATTCTCTTTGATTCAGTCAAACAACCTGCATCGTAAAACAATTGTTCTTGTTCCCTGAGAGGTGCTCCTCTCTGGTACCTTGGAGGACATCTGATGCTATTAGGGCCCTTCAAAACAGAGATTCCATAGCAGAAACTAAAGACCTGCTGTGTTGCCCCAATCTTCTAGGGACCATGATCTTGACTAATTTTAAAGGTAAAAAGTCTTGATGGGACTGTGATGGAGTTAAAAAACAACACTGAACTTGGGTCTTGAATCTAGATCAGTGATTTACTGACTATATACATAACTGGGTAAATGAGCCTCAGAAGCCACAGCAGCTGACTTCTTCTAATAACTTATCGTGTGACAGGCCCTGTATTAAATGCTTCCCATGCGTTACTACATTTCATCTTCATGGCAGCACTTTGAAGTAGATATCAACATCTCCATTCTAGAGATAAGGAAACCGAAGTTGGGGAAGGTTTGTTTGTCTTAATTTTTTAGATTTGACTATAGTTGACACACAATGCTAACTTTTTTTTAACCCAGTAAGTAGCTTCATACTCCATTTGACCTCCGGGCCCCCAGCACTCTAGCCACTCCTCCACGCTAGAAATCCTAAATCATAAAACTGAGGTAACGCCCACCTCCTTGTGGGAACTCCGGGCAAGAGAAGGCCCTTCCAGTCTGCCTGAAGTCTTTACATGAACTTCTGGCATGAGAAGTCTCAAGGAAAAAGCCCTGGGATGGGTGCAAGTGCGACCCTGGCCCAGGGCGCCTCCAGTCACTCTCAGATATGCCCGCTCTGGGGGAGTTAGCACTCGTGGCTCCAGAAAGCGGAGCCTGGCTGGGAAATTTCCCACCGGTCCCATAAGCTGGCAGAGGCAGGATCTGTTTTTCTGCTTTCAGAGAATTTTAAAGAAAGCAAACCCCAGGCCAGTAGCGGCGGAGCCCACCGCAACCCCGGGGGCGGGGCGGCTGAGGCCGCCTCTTCCCCGGCCTCGCCCCCGCGCGGTTCCGCGCCCGCCCGCTCCGGCCACTTGGGACAGGCCAGGCGGAGGCGCCGCCGGGAAGCCGGGCCGGCGAGGTCGCCCCTCTGCACCCGCCCAATCCTAGGCCCAAGCCCCCCAGTCGGTCCTCACGGAGCTGGCCGAGCCGCGGCGCCGCTCTTCGCCTAGGTCCAGCACGTCCTCCATCTCCGCGGCCGCCTGACGTCATTTCCTGGAAACCAAGCAGCCCAGTCGCGTCCCTGACGACGGCTCCGCCCTTTCATCTCAATATTTAAAGGATCCGCCGCATTATTCCTGGATTCTATGTGCCACCTTTGAATTTAAACCAAAACTTTCCTAAACTGCCTTGCCTGACTTCTGGAAGAAACCCCCAGCTATTAAATCCCGCTAAGGCCGCTCCTATGGGACAGTGAAAAGAATGTTAGTCTTTAGGAACTGTCTAGATGTGTAGCTCTGTTTAAATATATGTTATTAAGTACATAGTACTACTACTAATAGTAGTGATTAGATTGATCACTGGTACCTTGGAGGACATCTGATGCTATTAGGGCCCTTCAAAACAGAGATTCCATAGCAGAAACTAAAGACCTGCTGTGTTGCCTTGATCCCTCTTATTTATATGGCCCTTTACAACGAATAAAGGACTCTCTCAGTTATTATCTCACGGGAAGGATATAATAACCTTATGTGAAAAACAAGGTAAGTCTATTATCTCCATCCGACAGATAAGAAAACAGGCTCACGGGAGGGGAGAGTGGTCAGGTGCAAATAAATAGTTTCTAATGGAACATGCAATATACATAATCTCTGCCTTCAAGAAGTTTCCAGAGAAGCCGAACCAAGACGTCAAATACCTAAGTAGTGACAACATTCAAAAGTCAAGTAATCCCTCCAACAACCCCACAAAGTGAGCATCAGAGATATCTTTATCCAAAAATTGAGAACCCTAAGGTGCAAAGAGGTGGCTTGAGGGAAATCATCTGAGTGCCAAGCAGCAGAGCCTGATGTCTTTTTGAATACCAAATCTTATAAGAGTATTTTTCTCCTCCACGTATTCCTGGGTGCCAGCCATACTCCTAGGCCAGCAGAGGAAGATGTCCCTCAAATTCCCAGCCTACTGGGACGAGCTGAGTCTGCATTGACTCTCCATGTAAGATCCCCAAGTCAACACCACTGGCCAGGTCCCTGGTACTGGTCACCTAGGCCCCCCAAAAGACGGCCTCATGGTCCTGAATGTGAACAATATCCCCAATATCAGGCTAGGGGTAAGGCCTAGATGACCACTGCTAAAAAGCAAAGACTTGAAAGTGGGAGTCGCACCCCCTAAAACTGGATTGCAAGCATTTCTTAAATACCCAGTAAATTACTCAGTTCAACAGTCATCCACACATGTTTACTGGGTAGGGCTGTGTGTTAGCATGTCTTGTGACAGCAACAGTACTGCTTGGATGTCAGAAGAGTTGAGGTCTCATCCTAGCTCTGCTGATAACTACCTGTGTGGCCAGGCAGAGCCCCCTCTGGACCTCAGTCTCCTCCCTTGTAATTGCTCTTAGAGATTACCCCTAAGATCTGATTCTCACTGAGCATATCCAGTTAGATTTTAATCTGAAGAAGCATTCATTGCCAGAATCCAAGACAGATGAAATATAGGCTCCCGTGAATCCTTTGTTTTCTTCTTCCTTGGCACCAGATGAGGAAGAAGGGATTCATCTTTGGATTTTTCCATTCGGTGTGAGCCCATAGCCACACTACCACCACATTACGGCCAGTTTTCAAACCTTAACTCCCCCTTCTTCCCTGACTTCCTGAAAGCAAAAGGTACATGGTGCTCAGTCTGAGCAGAAAGAAGCCCTAGGACAGTGCTTCAGGACCTTGCTGAGCACCTGACTCACCTGTGGGGTTTGTTAAAAATACACATGCCAGGGCCCCATCCCTGGAGACTGATTTGGTAGAGGTGGAGTCCAGAAGGAGAATAATTTTCCTCCCATCTTACAAGCGTTTGCCTAAAGGCCTCAGTAAGGTCTTCTCTGTCACCCTATTTTAAGTTTCAACAGTCCCAACCTAGGCACTCCCTAATCTACCTCCCTGCTTTATTTTCCACCACGGTGCTTATCTTTTATCATCATACCTAATTCTTCCGTTTATTGCCATTTCCACACCCCTCCTCCCCCCACCCCCAATGTAAGCTCCCTTAAGGGCAAGGGTTTTGTTAGTTTGTTTTGTTCAGGGCTGCATCCACAGAGCCCAGAACAGAGCCTGGCATACAGTGAACGTCAAAATATTTTTCAAATCATGGCTGAATTTCAGAGGCAGCATTGCATAGGAAAATGCATAGACTCTGGCAATAGATTTCCTGGGTCCAAATCTCAGTGTTGGCACCTACTGGCTATATATTCTAGGTAAGTTACTTTTAAGCTTTCTACACCTAGATTTCCTGTTATTCAAATGACAACAATGCCTACCCAAACTAGAGAGCCCGAGTTAAATATCGCCTCCACCACCCATGAGAGGGTGGTCTTTAAAAAAAAAAATCGCTCTGTGCCTCAGTTTCCTCAACTGTAAACTGATCAACCACTGTTCTGGGAATTCAGTGAACATCCCAGCGGCCTAGGAGCCAGAGGCAGGAAGCTGACCTCACAGGAAGGGTCCAGGAAGGCTGGGTGAGGTGCGGTGTAGTGGCGGGGAGCAGCACAGATTCGCAGGAAAGTGATCGAGTCAGAGGCACGTCCCGTGTTGCCGGGAAGCAACGCGCCTTGCCCTCTCTGAGCTTCTCGTGGGAAAAGACGTAGAAGCTTAGGCGGAGAAGAGGAACGAGAGCGAGCCGAGAGAAAACTTCCCCTCACCCATCTGGGAAATGGGCTGGGGCCAACTGCTGACTTTGCGCTCGCTGGCGCAGCTCCCTGCGGAACCCTCGGCGGGGAGGGAGGCTGCGAACATCTGGAGGACATTTCTGCGAGAGCGGCTGCCGAGCGGGGCCCCGGGAAGAGAGAGGTGCACTTGTGCGCACGTCGGGCCGAGAGGGAGCCCGTCCCCCCAGGCTCCGGGGTCGCTTCCCTCGCCCTCTCCCGCGGCCCCTCTCCTCCAGCCCCCAGCCCCACCCCCAGCCCTCCCCGGCGTCCCGGCCCCGGCCCGCCGCGCTCCTTCACTGGCGCCCTCGCCTCGCCAGGGGGCACCCTCGATCTGCCGGAAAACGCCACCATTTTCAATGGCCCTGGAGCATCTCCAAGCTTCAGCCGGCCGCCCGACTCCAGGCTTGTCAGTGAAGAATCGGGGCCAGGATCTCCGCGGAGCCGTGCCCACCTCCGACCCCGCTCCCCGGCCGGGCGTTGCCCCCCCAACCCCGAGGGTGGGCACGGCCGCCCCTGCGCCTGCCCCGCGTGCGCCCCTGCCCCCTGCCCCCTGCCCCGCGCCCCTGCCCCGCGGGCCGTCGGGCCCGGGGGCGGCCCGGGCAGGGGGTGGGGGTGGTGGGGGTGGTGGGGGTGGTGGTGGTGAGGGGACCGTGGCAGGAGCGAGAGACGGGCGGAGGAGAGAGGACGGGCTGACAGCTGGCGAGAGGGCGAAGGAGCTGGGGGAGAAGGAGGGAAGGGATTCGTCGGAGTAACTTTCCAGAAAAACAGTCAACGTGTAGCAGGAGTGACTCCAAGAGGGGAAAAAAAGTTCAGTTACCACGTCGAACCAGAGGACTCGCAAAGTATTTTTCAAATGGGCTCGGCTTTTCCTGTGCCTGTTTAAAACATTAAAATCGTGCTGCAAAAGAGGCTGCGTGCGCTGGTCCCTCCCTCCCCCACCCGGGCCCGAGACGTCATGGGAGGGAGGTATAAAATTTCAGCAGAGAGAAATAGAGAAAGCAGTGTGTGTGCATGTGTGTGTGAGAGAGGGAGAGGGAGAGGAGCGAGAGGGAGAGGGAGAGAGAGAGAGAGAGGGAGAAGGAGAGGGAGAAGCAGCAGGGAGAGGAAGGGAGGGAAGCAGAAAGCCAAGGCCAAGGGAATGAGCAAGAGAGGGGAGAGATAGGGGAAGAAGCCTGAGAAAGAAGGAATAACAGCTTTCCGGAGCAGGCGTGCAGGGACCTGGCTGCTATTTTCTTTTTCTTCTCCTTTTTATTTTTGTAAAGAGAAGCAGGGAACAGAAGCAATGGCCGAGGGAGAAGACAAGCCGAGGTGCTGGTGACCTTGGGCGTCCAAGTGGATTATTGGGGCTGCTCTCCAGGGGCCTGTCCTCCCTGCCTTCCAATTGCACATACCCCCACTTCCCAGCCAATGAAGACGAGAGGCAGCGTGAACAAAGTCATTTAGAAAGCCCCCGAGGAAGTGTAAACAAAAGAGAAAGCATGAATGGTGTGCCCGAGAGACAAGCGTGCCCTGCGCTGCCCCCACCTTTAGCGGGGCCAGCCCAGCCCAGCCCTGCCTCTCCCCACCTACTCACTGGCTATCTGACTTTTTTTTAAACATTTTTTCCCCCTTTTCTTTTCCATTCTCTTTTCTTATCCTCCTTCAGGGCAAGGCGAGGATTTTGATTTTGGGTCCCAGCCATGGTCCTCCTGCTTCTTCTTTAAAATACCCACTTTCTCCCCATCGCCAAGCGGCATTTGGCAATATCAGATATCCGCTCTATTTATTTTTACCTAAGGAAAAACTCCAGCTCCCTTCCCACTCCCAGCTGCCTTGCCACCCCTCCCAGCCCTCTGCTTGCCCTCCACCTGGCCTGCTGGGAGTCAGAGCCCCGCAGAACCTGTTTAGACACATGGAGAAGAGACCCAGAGCTCCAAGGCACACAGTCGGCGTCTTCGCGCTCAGGGTTGCCAGTGCTTCCTGGAAGTCCTGAAGCTCTCGCAGTGCAGTGAGTTCATGCACCTTCTTGCCAAGCCTCAGTCTTCGGGATCTAGGGAGGCCGCCTGGTTTTCCTCCCTCCTTCTGCACGACTGCTGGGGTCTCCTCCTCGCCGGGCCTCGCAGCAGCGCGCCCCCCCCCCCAGCTGCTCTCCCCAGCTTGCGCATGAAGATGCACTTGCAAAGGGCTCTGGTGGTCCTGGCCCTGCTGAACTTTGCCACGGTCAGCCTCTCTCTGTCCACTTGCACCACCTTGGACTTTGGCCACATCAAGAAGAAGAGGGTGGAAGCCATTAGGGGACAGATCTTGAGCAAACTCCGGCTCACCAGTCCCCCCGAGCCATCGGTGATGACCCACGTCCCCTACCAGGTCCTGGCCCTTTACAACAGCACCCGG